AGCAGGAATTATCCATAGATCTCTCTCAATAAACCTGCTCAGCCCTGACAGATTTCGTTGAGGAATCAGCCTCCGTCGGCTGCGTTCTGAAGTGCCTTGCCTGACTGCTGTCTGCAAGTTGTACAACTCTCTCTTTGAGCATTGATCCTGTAGCTCTCCTAATATAACTCACTTTGCAAAATTGGAAATTGAACATGATTTAAAGGAGCAGCGACTGACAGTGTTAAGCTGTTTGCTTTTTATTGTATTTCTGGACATTTCTGATAAACTGAATCAAAATGTAGTTGACCGTGCAGGCAGGCTGTGAAATGGCTTTTCTTGAGCGTTGTCAAGTAAATCCCTCAACCTGTTAATACATGCAGTAGATTTTTTTTGTCATTTAAGAATAAAGTGACACTAGATTTGAGTTTTTCTGAACAGAAGTTTGGCAGCTTTGCACTTTACAAAAGAATATTGGCTCAGCATTAACTGTCAAAAACTGTGGGAGCTCATTTTTGTTTCCATAATCAGGTGCTTTAAAAAGTCACGTTCCAATAGTCAAATAAAGTTTGTTTCCATAATCAGGTGCATTAAAAAGTCACGTTCCAATAGTCAAATAAAACTGAATTTGAATTTTCTGAGTATTATGTTTATCGTGATGCCATCATCAAAATCTGTAGCAGCTTGTCCACAGACATGTTGGTGTCACTTTGGTGTTTCTCAGCTCTGAAAGATGCAAAACGATTCCAGTTTTCCTGGCACCGCGTTGTGTCAGTCATTTTAGTTGGATGAAGATTTCAGCACATGGTTTCTGCCATTTTTTCCTCTGTGCTCGTTAACTGTCAAAAACCAGAGTGCAGCTCTTATAGACCACTTCCTGCTGTGGATGTCTAGTTTACCTTCATTAAGGTTCGCAGCTCATGCTGTCAGTATTTGGATAGCTTAAATAGGCTTTCATTTCAGTTTAGTTTGGACATAAATGTGGCAGCTTTGTGAGACAGCAAACCTGCCTTTCTTCTTGTGAGTGCCATGTAAATGTAGGAATTATTATTCTTTACCTACTACAGTGCACAAGTAACCACTCTCGGTGATGAGGTGCCTCTAACATAAAAACATGACTTGAGTAACACAAATTGTTAATATGAATGCTTCTAAATTTGGCATTTTTAAGCAAAGAAGCTAACAAGGAAAGAAATAGTCTGCCTGCTTTCAAGGTAACGAGGTTCTTTAGGGATTTAAACTTTTCATGAATGCAGGAAAACATGTTTACCTTGGTAAAAAAGGATTTACTAAATGGTTACATTTTCATCTTGTTTA